GTGCCGGGGTGGCTCGGGCGGACGAAGGAGGCAGCGCAGGGCCTGGCCACGATGCTCATTCCTTTATTGTGTCGTTGCCGTTCCGGAGGGCGCTCCCGGCGCGGGGTCGAAGCTACGTTACAGCACAGGGAGGAGGGTCCGTCCCGGCCGGGGCGGGGGGCGGACACCTCTCCGCACAGTATGTATAATATATATATATTTATAATATGTCCTGTATATTCCTATGTATAGTGACAAGGATGGGCCACCAGACAGTGAACTTTTGATTTCTAAATAAATCACCAGAGCAACAGGCACGAAAATTTGGTCCTAATCGAGGCCCTCACCTTGTCCACAAACCCGGAACGGACCCGCACCCACCCCCACGCGGAAAAACCTCCAAACCTGGAACCCAAAGGAACCCGAAGTTCAACAACAACAGAAAGAAGCCCCAGCCCAGCCCCGTCCCCCCGGGGGCTTCGCCCCGTGCAGCCCCTCCCACTGACGGTCACGGACCCCGGGAACACCCCACACCCGGCACACACTCGGTGGGACACACGGACACCCACGGACGCCACGAACACACCCCGGGCACAGGGACCTGCTCGGGGACACACCCCCGAGGGGCCTGCTGGGCTGGGGGGCTCGACAGTGCCAGAGTGAGGGCTCGGGGGGCTCCCGGACCCCACGGTACAAGCGGCACTTGGATGTTGGAAGTGGCTCATCCATCCCCTGCTCTGGGAGCTCCCGCCCCCGCCCTGTGCTCTGCTGGAGGGGCTTCCTCGTGGATCCCACCAGGACCGCAGTCCTGCTGGAGCTGGAGCCGGGCCTGTCCCTGGCTGTGACGCCCAGAGGACACACTCAGGCCGTGGGAGAGCGGCACAGGGCTCATCCACCCTGCCCGTGGTGCTCCCTGGCCCGGGGCGGGCCGGGGGTGAGGACACCATCAGCTCCATGTCCCACACCTGGGCCCAGAACGGAGCAAGAGACGGTCACTGGTTCAACTCCTCGGGGCTCCATGAGCTGCTGATCTGCCAAAGGTGAACTGGGGCCATTGGAAAACAAGGAAGGGAGGAAAATCTATTCCTGCAGGCCCCCCACAGCTTCTCCCCGTTCTGAGGCTGTGCTTCCTGACCCCAACTCCCAGGGGCTTTCCTGGAAACTAAACAAAGAGCCATCTCTCCCATCCACCATGTTCTACAGGATCATGGAATCACAGGATGGTTTGGGTGGGAAGGGACCTTAGAGCTCATCCAGTGCCACCCTCGCCATGGGCAGGGACACCTTCCACTATCCCAGGTTGTTCCCAGCCCTGCCCAGCCTGGCCTTGGACACTTCCAGGGATGGGGATGGTTTTGTGGGGCCAGCTTGCCCTGGGGAATGCCCACGGACACCCCTGGCTGCTGAGGGTACCTGTGCACACAGACCCCACCCCACACCGTGGAAGGGACCCATCTCTCACTCCTCAAACACCTTCCCCTGCACCCTCCTGCCCAGGCTGAGCACAGGAGGGAGGGAGCTCAGCACCCACAGCACCCACAGCTCCCAGCTGGATTCTGAGCCAGGGCGGGGGGAGAAGGGGATGAAGGTTTTGGAGGGACAGAAGGTGTTATGGGGGGCAGATGGAGAGGGGAAGGTGGAGGCAGAGGGCAGTGATGGAGAGCTTGAGGCAGGACAGTGTCAGAGGGGATGGGGAGAGGACACCCCGTGCCAGAGCAGGAGGATTCCCCTGGCCTGGCTGCACTGATGGGACACGGCTGGGGGGACCTGCCCAGCTCTGAGCTCAGCACAGCCAGTGCTCCTGCTGTTCCTGCTCCTGCTGTTCCTGCTCCTGCTGTTCCTGCTCTGTGCATGTGCCTCGCTCCCTCACCCCATCCTGTGTGCAGGACCATGGGGGTGAGCACTGACCAGTCCAACAGCGGGAGATCAGGCTGCCCAGGGAGGTTCTGGAGTCTCCTTCCCTGGGGATACTCCAAAGCTGGACACAATCCTGAGTAATGTGCTCCAGGGGTCCCTTCCAATCTCAACCATTCTGTAAAGGAATTCTCTTTGTTTCCAGAA